AGTAAAAAAAACGAACTTACTTTCCGAACAACCTAATAAAACATTTCTCACATTTTTAGACTGACTTAACAAATCACTGTCATGCTATTAGCATCTAACTGTTAAAAATGCTGCATATACATTAATACATTGTCTGCTACCTGTGCAATTGTTGATATCTATTGGGTTTCATCACTGTTTTCTTTTGATATTTTATTTCATTCTAAGTTCTAATTAATTTTGTTTTTATATTTATTTTTTTTAATTCTTTTGTTTACAAATAATTTTTAAAGCATGTTCTTAAACTTTCAAAAGTCTATTCTTAGTTATATTTTCAACTTTTGTTTTAACTTTTATGATCTAATGATGATTCAGACCTAAATTCAATATATTAATTATGATTCACATCTGAAGTTGGAGTAAAACAGCTCCAAAAAATGTTTAATTCAGAAATAAAGTTTCAGCTTCCATAAACCGAGTAATTTATGGAATTTAAATATTTTAGTGATGACTAATAATAACTCTGTTAAGTATTAGCCCTGTTTTATATTACACAAGATTTTTAGTTGGCTTCTCCACTATTGCTTAAGATAGTCAAAAAATCTAGTGATTTGTATGATTTATAGTTTTTTAATGTTTCATTTTTTCTTTGCTACGAGGGTCGTCCCAGAAGTACCCAACCTGACATATAAATTATGGTACTTGTTTGAAAAAGACAACTGTGTTCGAAAGTATCAACCTTATAAAGCTTAAGTTTGAAGACACTATGTTGTTTAATATTTTTTTGGCAGCCATCAATAGTGAACAATCTCAGTGAATTTGAAAACATGGAAAAAATTGGTCATCGTTATGTGATACAATACTTTCATTTGAAAAGTTTCAGTCCAACCAATATTAAAGCTGAGCTAGATTCTACTCTGGGGGAGTCTGCTCCCTTGTTTACAACAATAAAATATTGGGTGGCAGAGTTTAAACGAGGCCGTACGAGAACAACACAAGATGAACATCACAGTGGGCGACCAAGTAAGGCGACCATGCCAGAAATTATGAAAAACAAATCCACAAAATGGTATTAGATGATCGTCAACTCAAAGTGTGAGAGCTAGCAGACATGGTAGGCATTTCAAAAAGTGCTGTACATCACATTTTGACTGAAAATTTGGACATGAGAAAGCTGTGCACAAGATGGGTGATGCGTTTGCTCACAATGGGACATAAACAGCATCGTGAGGATGTTTAAATTGAGTGTTTGGCAATGTTTCACCACAACAAAGCTGAGTTTTTGCATCGATTCATAACCATGGATGAACCATAAGTCCATCATTTCACACCTGAGATGAAAGAACAGTTGAAACAATGGACTGAAAGGGGAGAATCAGCTCCAAAGAATGCAAAAACAGTTCCATCTGCTGGCAAGATCATGGCGTCAGTTTTTTGGGATGCACATGGAATAATTTTCATTGATTATCTTCAAAAACAATCAACGATGAGTATTATGCAAACTTTTTGTAGCACTTGAGTGATGAAATCAAGAAAAACAGCCATATTTGGTGAAAAAGAAAGTGTTGTTTCATCAAGACAACACACCAGTTCATACATCCATTATTGCAATTGCCAAAATCAATGAGTTAAGGTTCAAATTGCTTCCTTATGCACCCTATTCACCAGATTTAGCCCCATAGGATTATTTTCTCTTTCCAAATTTGAAAAAATGGCTTGGTGGTAAAAGATTTGCCAACAATGAAGAGGTGGAATCTACTGTTGATGGCTATTTTGAGAAGCTTGACAATTCTCACTATAAACAGGGGATCAAAGCTATTGAACAGCAATGGGAAAAGTATATTGAGCTAAAAGGAGACTATGTTGAAAAATAAAGATATGTTTTCCCAAATTTTTTGTGTCTTCTTTGTTAGGTTGGGTACTTCTGGGACTACCCTCATATTTTATTTTCATTTACTCCTACTTACCTTCTTATAATGTGTTAAGAACTGAAGGAACTTCTGTACACCTACACAGTTGTTTGTTATATCATTATATATACTTTATTATTAATACATTGAAACAGAAAATAAAATGATATACAGTAAGTATAATGATTTCAACATGTTTTTGTTTTTCTTCTATTAAAATTTTAAATTGTTTGCTCTAATAGTTTTTTTTTTTTGTTTACTATGATGCAATGCTGTCTTAATCCAAAGTATTTAGTTAAATCTTATATCTTATTGAAATTCCAAAATGTTATTGTTACAAAATTATAATTTATAATGAGATTCAGAATTGAGAAAAAATGTATTTGGCTCTTGAATTAATATTGTAGCATTGTATGATTTCTCCATGCTTAAAATAAACATTTTTTATATTTAATATAATTAAAAATACATTATATAATTAAAAAAATTTTAACTAAACTATTTATTATGAATGATGCAATATAATCAACAAATCCATGCAATATGTTAAAATTTAAGTTTAAAGATGCTTATAAATAATATTGTTGCATATTTTGTAAAGAATTCAATAAACATCAATAAAAAATATTTACAATCTTCTTTTGCATTAACATCAGCTTACAAGATATTTTGTAAGCAGATGCTAAACCAAGAAAATATATATATTATTCAATATTTCCTATATTATCATCTGCCCAAAATAGTATTGAGAATAAATCTCATTAAAATTCTATTCAATTCCTAAAAAGCACAAAACAATATAATTTTGTTTATAAATTCATAAGGTTTACTAATCAGTATTGCTAATCATCTCTACTTATGTTCCTGATATTAAGATCTGTTCTTTTTTTAAATTTATGTTCCATTCTCTCTCTCTCATTTTTATTTAAAGAGAGAGGAGGGAATATTAGAGCACTGTAAAATAAACTGAAACTGACATATCAAGAAAATTCTGATAAACCAACACATTGGTCTGGCTATTATCTGTAGATAATCAAGAAAAAAATTAAACATCAGTTTGTGAAACAAACTGATTCCAATATGTCAGGAACATTCTCATACACTAATATATTCATCTCTAAAATGAAACAATTTTTTATAATCATCAAGTATGCAATTTATATTTAAGAAATTTATTTCCAACCATTTATTCCATAGTTCAAAATTAGTGGGCAACAAAGTCCAATCATCTAGACCAGCGATTCCCAACCTGTGGTACGTGTACTCCTAGGGGTACACGATAGGTTGCTTAGGGGTACAGAAAAAAGTTAGTTATTATGGCAGAAAAAATAATATATTATGTATCACAAACTAATAGTATTAAAAAATTATTACGTAAAATATTTCCTTGCAACAATCACAACTTTATTATACATTTTTTCATTTAGTTTTTTTTTCTTTAATTTAAAGTTACAATATGTAAAATTAACAATACGGATACTCACTAAATTTCTTAAATGAGGGGTACAATCTAGAGATATGACATGTCACGGGGTACGCTAATGAAAAAAGGTTGGGAGCCACTGATCTAGACAACCAAAATTTACTTTGGACTAATGAATGTACTTTCAAACTGGTCTGGCAGGCTACTTTATTAGTTTTTCAATTTTTCTTAGCTTTTTTTTGAACTTTGTGCATATTTTAATCCATTTGGTACTTTTAGTAAGAAGTAATAATAATGTTAATAGTAAAACAATCAAAAGTCAATTTAAGACATCAAACTCCATCACAACAAATCCAACATGGTCACCATGGAATATAGAAACAGAAAGCATTGAAATGAGAAAATAAAAAAATTAAACATTGATTGGCAACTGAAGAAAAATATCAATAATTTATAAAGTAATAGTTACCTGTATGAATTGCAGAACACTGTTAAATTAAATGAAAGTCCTTAAAAACTTAATGAATACGAGACAATAAAATTATTTATTTACTCTCCTTTGCATTTAAATTATAAATTTGATTCAAACCAAAATAAAAGATTTTCTAAAACTTGTTACTAAATTAAAATGCATTTTTAAGATTAATATTTTTTAGTATTAGGTCCAAATTAATTTTGTTTTTGGTTTTACACAAAATAAAAAATACTGCATAAGAAAAGGTTCATTTTTGTCAGGACTGATAATTTTTCCAAATTAGACAAGTTCTCCTTTTATTTGTGTTCCAAATTGAGCAAGATTTATTGTATTTTCAATATATAAAATCTTATCTTAATAAATAATTACTTTGTTTAATGATTAACAGTTGCTAACACCTAATTAATGAACTCTTTAATTCATTAATCATCCATTTATATTTTTATTTTACTTCTATGAAGTACTGAGAAGTAAATTTCATTCACTATAAAATTAGTTATTAGTTTTGTATCTATTAAAAATATTTTAGCATGTAATTCTTAATGTGATTTTTAATAGTAATTTGTCTGTAACAAATGATTATTTTTTAATAGTTTTTTTTTTAATCACAGAATTTTTTCTTGTTTGAGTTTTTAAATATAATTTTACATTGTTAAAAAACTTTTTGATGAATTTTGAACACATCCAATGAAAATTTATACTCTGTTTATAATAGATGCCCACTTATATAAATATCTGCAAAATTTTGAACATCTACAGGTGATGTTCAAAATTTTTTGTGTGTAGATCTAATAAATGGCTATATAGTTTGCAGACAATAAAAAAGCTTTATTTTTTTATATTACCTGATAGTATGTAAAAAAATATGCACTCTGCAGTATGGACAACTAGTTTCATTACAGGACAACCAGAAATAAAGAGCTGATTGCCCTCTGGACAACTAGCAAGTTATCTTAATTTCTAATCCTGCATTCTAACAAAAAAAATAAGCAGCATTTGAGAATTTTATATATTTATACAGTCAATGACTTTGCCAATGTTATTATTAAATAAATAATTTAATATAAAGATTAAGTAAGATGTTTTCTTACATCTTACTCTCTTCTTTTATGCCTTTTTTTATTTAGTTACCTTATCAATACCATATTTACTGAATTAATTTAATAAATTATAATTAGAAATTTCATAAAAATTTAAAACAACAATTATAAACCTTTGTTTAGAACTCTCTTCTCTTTCTAAAACTGTTATCCATGCATGAACAAAGCCTTGATAAAATCCAAGCTATAATATAAAATAAACATAAATTTATAAATACTTATATATTAGAGAATGTATAATTAGGATAAGCTACTCAAAATGTTAATGTTATTTTATATTTAAAATTAAAACAACAGAACTATATATTTTTTTCTTTTCCACAATATATAAAATAATTAATATGTTATTTATAGATATCTGATAATTGATTAGCTGTCATAATTAGGGATATATCCATAAGTTTTAATGATCAACAGTCCAGCTTATTTATTGGTTCTAATATTCAGATATTTTATTAAAAATTAAAAATTACATTTTATTTCTTTACTAATGTGATGAAATACTGAATTCTTAATTCAGTTGTAACTCAAGTTTTAAAAAGCCCAAAAATGCTTTATTTAATATCTTAAGTACTGAATAACATTTTTGAATAAAGAAAGGATCAGTTATCTCAATACACTTACCAAATTTAAAAACCTTATTCAAATAAATTTTTTGATATAATATTGATGGCAAGTTTTGTTGGAAATGTTCTAAATATACATTTTTCTAGTATACTGTATTGCAAAAATACAATGCTAACACTTTGATTAAACTTTGACACTTCACTATTAAAAATATTTCATTTTTTCAGAGTTTAGAATTTTTTGTAATGTATTTGACATCAATTAATTATAACAACACACCTAAATTTTTACAGAGTATAAAATTCAGATGTGTTGTTATAATTAATTGCAATTGCTGAGAGAAAGGTGGATAGTATTTGACATCATCTTTCAATTGTATCATTTTACTTTTTATAAACCATCTGTTTCTATTCACTATTTGGAATGCCTCATGAATATCAAATAAATATACTCGTCACTAATGATTTCACATGCAATTACTTACAATGGCATAGGAAGCTTTGTTTTGCAGATGGTATAATGAATTTGAATTAGTGTAATACTGTTGTTAAAAGTAGTGTGACCATCATAGCCAGAGATGCATTTTATCTTGTGTATATGTTAGAATAAATTAAAGAACCTAACAGTATAAACTTACAAAGATAAACATTTTTTATGGCACTTGTGACAAAGGTCAAAATCAGGATCTTGCATTTCCAAATATTTGAAAATGACTGACTTTAAACTAGGATTTCTCAAATGGGGTCCCAGAATCCTGGTTGTTTTTTTAACTGAAAAATTCTCATTCCAAGGAAATCCCACAAATTTCTTAAAAGTTTACTTTTTTCTTATTGTGTGTTAAGGTTGAGAAAATTTTGCAAATAGAAACTATAACTAACTCATAAACTGTCAGAATACATTTGTATTTTTAATTTTAAACCTACTTACTAGTTTTTTAAATTTTGCTCGTTATGACATGCCACAAATGGTCAATAATCAATATGTAGCTTATTTGTGGCAGGACTCTGAAAATTCTTTGTCAGAACCTGTAATATCTGGCATAACTGTGCTTATGCTGTCTTAATTTTTTACCATGCCCAGTACCTTCAATTACTGCGTAATGCCAAGTTCTGCAAATTGGGCAAGGGTACAAATGAGTACGAAGTCTGCAAGTACGAAGTTTTTCTTCATAAACCCAATTATTAAAGACAAACAAACTGCCTAATTATTGGGCTATAAGCTTGATGTTTCTATTAAGGCAGCTGAGATAGACAAATCAACAATACTACAGACCAAAAGTAGTACTACAATCTCAAAAACAAACTAGAAATCTTCCAGGCTATAGGTGAAAAAACACACATTTGTCTTCTCTTAAATGCATTAAACATGATTCAACTCACATCAATTGAATTGGAAAGGGTATATAAGGATACAATTTAGTAATGAATAGTCCTCCATAGTAAGACTTTTCATTACTAAAATAAGAATCAGATTGAGTGATAGGAGTATTGACCATCTTTACTTTATAAAATCTTATAAAAATTTACAATAATATTTTGTATTATGTTTTATTTAAAAATGAAACTTACCTTTTAAGTTAGAAGTTTGATTTAAGTTCATTTTTTAAAAATTTTCAACTCAATTCAAAGCATTTTTTTTTGTTGTAAGCAGTTTCCAGCAAACTTTAATAAATTTTTTCTATTTGTGAAAATTTCTATGTAATTCAAAGGTAATTTTTAATATATATCTTACACAGCATTATTAATATGATTTTGGAGGTTGCAGAACATATTAAATTACTTTAAAAAATGAAAAATAATTATATCATTTGATTTCAAGATATTTTGTATATCTGAAAAATAATTAATTCTATCCTGGGAAACAGTTCACTTTTTTCCCCAAATCCCAGGACAAGCAAAACACCGGAAAATGAGAAACCTACTTTAAACTTTGTTAATAAGCCATTAAAAGATAGTGAAATTATATCTGATTTAGAAATATTTATTTTACTTCACTACTATTATTTTCTTATTATTAAATTGAATAAAATTAAAATTTCTTAGACATGTAAAAATATGTACCTTAAATTTTTTTGACATGTAAAATATGTACTGTACTTTAAACTCATAAAACATATATTACATTTTTTTCTTGTTTGAACATGTGATGCTAATGGTTACAAAGTCAACCATTTGAAATGTTATGATCTGAAGATGAACTAATTGTGTGATAACAGTAATAGGAAGTCTATATTTAAACTTTTCTCTCAAGCAATTAATGTTAACTTTTACATTAAGTAGAGTAGTTATATTAAAAATAGGCAGATGGCACTTAAATTATACTCAACCTTACAGATGTCAAAGTATTCCATGAGGAATTTATTATTGAACATTGACATGACATAGGGTCAAACATTTTACATTAGACTTTTCTGTTAACCTACTTGATGTCTTTTTCCAAATGTACCATTTTATTTATTTTTGTAAGAAGTCTGTTTCTACTGACACATTTCATTTTAATAAGCAAGGCTAATATAGTTTTATTGCAACAGATATGCTTACATATAAAGTTTTATTAAAAATACTTCTCATCAATCTATATTTCTATAGAAATATGACCTTATAACATATGGATCAGATATTTCAACAACATATATAGCATAGTTAATAATTATCTTATCATTTATAATATAATCAAGTATTTATTATGCATGATATGAGTTTGTTAATACATACCAATTTACACAAAAATTTAATAAATAGGCAAGTTTCATTAATTTTTTTTATATTAAAAATGGACTCTCTTGTAAAAAACATAAAATAAATTTTCTTATTAAATCTTAAACAAACAGTNCATAAGAGTCCTTCTGGGGATAAAATAGATATTAATTTATAATTAAGAAAGTAAATCAGCTCTTTCAATTCCATACTTAATCATACACATTTATATTTAAAAGGCCAAAAAAACTAGTCCTTTGCAAGGCATCACTTCTGTTTATTGTTTATCAAAATCTTGTGTGTTCTTCAGAACTAATACCAGAATTAAAAAACATCTGAAACTGTAATACATATCATGTTATATCAGTGTTTCCCAATCTTTTTTGTGCTATGCCCCACCTAAGCCTTTCTAAAATTCTTATGCCCCCCTAACACATACAGCGACTATACGGTTAACTTAAACTCTGGACGAGTCCATTTTCGAATTGCCTCCCTGTGGGCATTGGGAAACACTGTTATATCATATTAAAATAAATCTAAGTTTTTAAAAAAAATATTAACATGGTATAAACAATTTAACATTTATAACATCAAATTTTTGGATATGTCTACATGTTAAAAAACTGATGTAGCAGCTTATTCAGAAGCATGCTCTAACTGAAAAAACTAAAAAGTCAATGTCATAACTGGAAAGGAACAAAATAATGATATGGAGTTGAAGCAAACAAGCTTTTAAAATATTTACCAACAGTTTATATCTGACCCTTATAATGTAAGTTTTCAGCTCCCTGTCACAGAAAAAATTGAGATAATTAAAATATTAAATAATGTAATAAAAAATTTTCTATCTTAAAACAAAAAATTTTAAGTAAAGACTCTTAATTTAAGATCATTTTAATTTTTAATTTAATATCAATGTAATTTCTTTTACAGTTTGTTTTCATTCAATTTCTTCTTGATATTTATGACTTCAAAATCTTAAAACTCCAGCTAACTTATTTAGTTTAAACATATCAAGTATCTTTAAAATATCTTCCTCTTCAGGAATATGTACAGTACATTAGAATCATTTAAAAAATGCAGAAAAAAAAACAATTTAAAACAAAGAATATTACAACAAATAACCAAATATTCTATAATTTTAAATTGTGTAACATTATTTTAAAATGTGTGCTTTTTCTGCATTCTTTTAATGATTTTAATATATTTATATTCATGAAGAAGACATAGATGATTGAAAATGTTTGAAATAAATAAGTTAGTTGGAGTTTTATGGTTTTTAAGTTAATTTATGGACTTATACAAATATCAATTATTTAACTGGAGAAACAATCAACTTCTGTAGAACACCCAAATTTCAGCAGTAATGTGAAATAATAATACTAAAACAAAAATTTTCAGAGATCTTATGCCTCCTTCAGCTTCTGAAGTCTTTCAAATGTAGAATAAAGTTTGTGATAAACATATGATTATACTTGTAGTGAATGTTTTTAATTTCTAAAAATAGAACATTGTTCTAATTGAAAGCCTTCAGAACCTGAAGATGGAGGCATAAGATCTCCAAAAACATTTATTCTAGTATTAATATTTCATATTACTGCTGGAGTTTGGGTTTGTACTTAAGTTATGACAAACTGTTGCAAATGAAACAATCATTAAAAAGTTGTTAAATAAGACCAGTTTTCTATATGAAGTAGTATTTTTAATTATGACACACTAATAAATAATCCAAAATTTTATTCTAAGGTATATTTTATTGTAAAAATATTTATCTTAGGATTTACTTATTACTTCTTTTGAGTGTAGAAAAGAAGTAAAGGATAACTATATATATATATATATATATATATAGAGACAAANAACAAACTAGAAATCTTCCAGGCTATAGGTGAAAAAACACACATCTGTCTTCTCTTAAATGCATTAAACACGATACAATTGCAGAAAAAGAACAATTCAAACAGGAATTTATAAATTATTTCCTGCTTATATTTTCTGCATAAACAATCAGTCAAATTAAATTCTGTAATAAGTTTATAACAAAATTAAAAATAATTTAGTTTTAGCATGAAAACTATCTCTCTTACTTTCAATTCTTGATGTAATTTGATTCAAATTTCCTATGCAGCAACTTATTTTCTAATGCTATTATGTTTATTTCTTGATTTCAAGCCCAAAATCATTGTGTAATAAATAAAAAAACTTATAATGAGTGAAAATCAAGTTTCTATATATTCTTTCTTGAAAGCTTTTAATAGAAACATAATTACAGTTTACTATGATCAAAACTATATTAAATCTTATTTGACAATCAGAAAAAATTTTCACATTGATTTTAGTATTTTATGCATTATATAATAATCAATTGTAATTATTCAGTCAATCCAAATCTGTCTATGTCTGCATATATAAAATCCAAAATATGTATTATATCAGTAAACAACTGAATGATATAAATGCCAATATGTTATTGACTCAACAAAGGAAACAAAGAATGGTATAAAAAATTATTTCTGACATTGCTTCCAGTTTCTGTATTTTATTACATTAAACAGTTAAAATTTCAATATACTCTGCAATTAATTTATTAGAAGTAATATTTTATAAACCTCACTTTCTAGAAATCCTCATAAACTAAATTTTTATTAGAATCTGGTGTAAGGAACCAAGTCCGAGCATTATTTTTATTTACTTTAATTTTGCTTTTTATTATACTTTTGTTTGAGGCTTATGTTTTGTTAGGACGAAGGTTTCATCACCATTCATCTTAGAAACTTAAAAATAGAGAAGAAACCAACTCACCAATGAGAGAGAAGCACCGTAGAAAAAACTCGCGCACACTTGCGCTCCCAAGCAGAAAAAAGTAGGTCCGCACCGAGAAAAGGGGGGAGACCCACAAGCACAAATTAGGGACTTGCTAAACTTTAAAGAATAAAAAACATCCCCAAAATTGTCAAAAAGAATAATGTAAAAGGTTAGCGAGTATTGTCGGAAAAATAGGCTGCCAGACAAATAGAAAAAGTTTATTGTTAGCAAATAAGTATGTAAATGAGGGGAGTGATCGCATTCAGAATTGTGATGTCACCTCACAGTATAAAGACTGAACCTCAAGTGAAGACGGTCGAGGTGAGCTTCTTATAGCAACGAGCTTGGTGAGCTTCGTAGCAGTGAACGAGAGAGGTGTCCTATAGGATCAAATAGTTCCAAGGCGATTTTGAAGTTATTCGATTTGTGGATCGAAGATTAGAGAAAGTCTTGAGAGTTGAAAAAAAGGGTTCCTAGTATATTGAGGTGACGATTAGGATCTTTAATTCATAAGAATTATTGTACATAAGTTAAATCTTTGAATTTTTGTTGAATTCCAAAGGGAAATAGAATTAAGTTAGAAAATAGATTGATTTGAGTTTTGTCGGGTTGATTCTTATTGACTTTCATTGAATAAATTGTTACTTGATTTTACTAAATATTGTATATAGTTTATTACTAGAACTTTTATTAAATATTTGATTTGTTATTGACAAACTTGGTCATTATTTAATTCAGTGCATGCTTAAAGTCCAGGCCTGGCACACTAACACGAATCTGCATAAAGTACCCGTTAGGGAATGGCTATTTCCGGCACACAGTCGTGTCGATAATCGTTGGAAAAGTCAAAAATAATATAGTACTTTACACTGGTATTTGGAATTTAATTTTAAATGTTAAAGAAACATTCTTCATTCAAATCCATTTATGTTCATTATTTTTCAAAATGGATATTCAATGTTGTTGAGATATGCGAGTTTTGAGAAACAATTATTCTCAGTTAATAAATAACTTCTCTAGCTTATTTAATATTGCTTTTTATCTTATTCTTATTAGAATCAAATTTTTCAAAATTATTCTTGATTTATAATGTTATACATAATGATTATAGAATTAAAAACAAATTAATGTAGTAATACTTACTTCAGATGCAATCTGTGCTCCTCTTTGTAATCCATAACTGTAACCATCTCTCCAACCAGCTTCTTCTCCAAGACTAAAGCCACGTGTAAATCCCATTTGTCTATATCTATCAATATAAAAAATTTGCTTATTTTATTCATGTATATGCATATTAAATATTAAACATTACTTTTACAAACAGATTTGTAAATTTCAATCTAGCCTATACAAGAATATACTAGGACATCATACGACTTTCTTGTATCACGACAGAAAGAAGAAATCCTTACACTTGTCAGTTTTCTATAAATTTATTAGTTAATCCTTGTAACAATTTTGGAATTTTGGCACTCCATCATCTTGGTGCTCTGGGCACATACTCCCTCTGACCCTGCATTTCCATGACCTGGCTTGTACCTGCTAGCCACAGAGAGATGATCCTTGCACTAGGCAGAGACAATCCTTAACTTGCAAACATGGAGAGGCAATCGAAGAACAATCCTGTGTTTTGTTCATTTTTTGCACCTATATTCTGTTAGGCTCATGCAATTGTTTTTTATTTTTCTCTTTTAAATTCCATTAAGCACATTCAACTGCATCAGGGAGCATGGACATTGTCACTTTGATTCCGCTGTATATCGAAAACGAAACCATGAATCCCTATTTTTTTTTACATTTAAATGAACCTTCATTACATTTTTGGTTTCCTCATTGCATTTAATGGAAAATGGCAAAGTTTTATCAAAACTGGCCATCAAATTTTAAGAACAAACTTAATTCTATAAGCCCATAGAAGATGTGCTAGCAACCTCGGGACATTTCCTGACTAAGTCACAAGATTCATTCAATATTGCTTGTTGCAATATTCTTCTGCTACAACCTTGCATCTCAAAAATAAAGCAATGGACTCCCATCTTTTATTATATTTTTGGATTCCTCATCTCAACTAATGGAAAATGGCAAAGTTTAATCAAAGTCAATCAAATTTTGAGAATTGAGTAGGCTGATTAAATTGCAGCTAAAAAATATAATTTATCAGATCTAACAAAACTAGTTGCTAAATATCAAAGGAAACATTCTTTCCAGTATAATAAAATAACGTTGTAATTTGATTGATTTACAACAAGGGTTTCTCAAAACGGATCCTGATTGTTTTTTAATCTGGGAAATCCTGCAAATTTCTTAAAAGTTTACTTTTTTCTTATTGTTTCTTAAAGTTGAGAAAATTTTGCAAATAGAAACTATAACTCATAAACTGTCAGAATACATTTGTATTTTTAATTCTAAACCTACTTATTAGTTTTTTTAATTTTTGCTCGTTATGACATGCCACAAATGGTCAATAATCAATATGTAGCTTATTTGTGGCAGGACTCTGAAAATTCTTTGTCAGAACCTGTAATATCTGGCATAACTGTGCTTATGCTGTCTTAATTTTTTACCATGCCCAGTACCTTCAATTACTGTGTAATGCCAAGTTCTGCAAATTGGGCAAGGGTACAAATGAGTACGAAGTCTGCAAGTACGAAGTTTTTCTTCATAAACCCAATTATTAAAGACAAACAAACTGCCTAATTATTGGGCTATAAGCTTGATGTTTCTATTAAGGCAGCTGAGATAGACAAATCAACAATACTACAGACCAAAAGTAGTACTACAATCTCAAAAACAAACTAGAAATCTTCCAGGCTATAGGTGAAAAAACACACATTTGTCTTCTCTTAAATGCATTAAACATGATTCAACTCACATCAATTGAATTGGAAAGGGTATATAAGGATACAATTTAGTAATGAATAGTCCTCCATAGTAAGACTTTTCATTACTAAAATAAGAATCAGATTGAGTGATAGGAGTATTGACCATCTTTACTTTATAAAATCTTATAAAAATTTACAATAATATTTTGTATTATGTTTTATTTAAAAATGAAACTTACCTTTTAAGTTAGAAGTTTGATTTAAGTTCATTTTTTAAAAATTTTCAACTCAATTCAAAGCATTTTTTTTTGTTGTAAGCAGTTTCCAGCAAACTTTAATAAATTTTTTCTATTTGTGAAAATTTCTATGTAATTCAAAGGTAATTTTTAATATATATCTTACACAGCATTATTAATATGATTTTGGAGGTTGCAGAACATATTAAATTACTTTAAAAAATGAAAAATAATTATATCATTTGATTTCAAGATATTTTGTATATCTGAAAAATAATTAATTCTATCCTGGGAAACAGTTCACTTTTTTCCCCAAATCCCAGGACAAGCAAAACACCGGAAAATGAGAAACCTACTTTAAACTTTGTTAATAAGCCATTAAAAGATAGTGAAATTATATCTGATTTAGAAATATTTATTTTACTTCACTACTATTATTTTCTTATTATTAAATTGAATAAAATTAAAATTTCTTAGACATGTAAAAATATGTACCTTAAATTTTTTTGACATGTAAAATATGTACTGTACTTTAAACTCATAAAACATATATTACATTTTTTTCTTGTTTGAACATGTGATGCTAATGGTTACAAAGTCAACCATTTGAAATGTTATGATCTGAAGATGAACTAATTGTGTGATAACAGTAATAGGAAGTCTATATTTAAACTTTTCTCTCAAGCAATTAATGTTAACTTTTACATTAAGTAGAGTAGTTATATTAAAAATAGGCAGATGGCACTTAAATTATACTCAACCTTACAGATGTCAAAGTATTCCATGAGGAATTTATTATTGAACATTGACATGACATAGGGTCAAACATTTTACATTAGACTTTTCTGTTAACCTACTTGATGTCTTTTTCCAAATGTACCATTTTATTTATTTTTGTAAGAAGTCTGTTTCTACTGACACATTTCATTTTAATAAGCAAGGCTAATATAGTTTTATTGCAACAGATATGCTTACATATAAAGTTTTATTAAAAATACTTCTCATCAATCTATATTTCTATAGAAATATGACCTTATAACATATGGATCAGATATTTCAACAACATATATAGCATAGTTAATAATTATCTTATCATTTATAATATAATCAAGTATTTATTATGCATGATATGAGTTTGTTAATACATACCAATTTACACAAANAATCCTGGGACAAGCAAAAAACTGGGAAATGTAAAACCCTACTTACAACCAAGAACTATTTTGATTTACAAAGCAATAAAACAAATAGCAGCTCATTGGCAATAGTAGTAGTTAGTGTGGGCTGCACTGACAATCCATTCTGAACTTGTAAGATAACACCTTCTTCTCAAATTATACACAAAACAGATGTTAACATGTGTTAAGTTGAAATAATTTACTGAGAATTTCTGAAATTTATGTTTATTTTTGTGTTTTTGAATCAAATCACAATAAAATAGATATAAAAAAGTATTTTCAACATTACGCAAGTATTTTACATTGTTAGAAAGAAGACAAGATAAAATTAAACATATAATTGTAGTTTTTGACGTAATGCTGACAGTTTCACAATTTTAGAATACAAACTGATATCTATGAGAAGTCATGCAACATAATTCATTCATTTTTTTCAAGCGTCCTCTAGAGAGGAATGTATAACCCTCACTTGAATCATCATGCTGGTTTTTACCATATGGAAATATCTGATTTCATGGTTTTACTGGATAGATCAACATGCCAGACAATCTGTGAAAATAGTGTTTCTACATTGCAGAACTCTTTTCCCAGTGGCACTCTGGGTAAAACACACCCATATATTAAGTCAACATTTCACTAATTTAATATCTTATATTGGTTTTAATGTTATTACCATCAACAATCCTCTATCTTTGTTTAAATTGTAAGAGAAAAACACACAGTAGACCCCCATAACACGGTAGATACATTCCATGTTATATGAATTCCATATTGTACAAGTCACTTAAATACATGAGCCAATCACAGCCCTGCAGGTGTGCAGTTTAGGGGCTATGGCTGTTTGAAAGGTTTTCTTCCATAAAATTAATCAATTCTAGACTAATTTGACTCAACATCCCCAAAACACACATAATTTTTTCGGAATAATCCATATAAACTACACTATAAACAAAAAGTTGTAGGAATACTTAACAAGTGCACACCACTCGTTATTGACTTGTTAAGACGCCATTGCTTAAGCTTGTTTTCGTTGCGTAACAGCTCATTGGACGACGGTCATGTGTTTCCTGATAAGTTATTCTTTCTGCAAAAAATTCACTGAACTTTGGAGACATCATTAATAGAAACATAATTTTTATGGCAGTTGAATAACAAATGTTTTTTAGTAGGTCCACTGCATGTTTAAACTCAACGGTTTGTGCAATGTCCACTATTGGTCCAGATTTGACCAATCCTTTGAGCAAACAATACATACAAGTACTGTACAGTACAGTATTTTCTAAGGAAACACTCGTACTTATTCTTTTTTAACTCCATTTCCAATAACCCAGCATTTTCACAAACTCGGCCACCCTTCGGTCCACATTAGGCCGAGTTTTCTAATGTATTTTAAAAATCATATTATTATTTTCCAACTATCAACATTTTCTTGAAATTAATTATTGCCTCTTGAAATATATCATTTATTTACCCTATCTACTAGTATATGTATAGTGTTATATATCATCTGGTTCATCCTACAGTTAAATTTTACTAAAGAACAAATTATCTTAAAAGTTTGAGGGGACCATTAATGGTTCCTCTAGATAGTCGAAGTCAGTTAGATCGCTCAATCTGATCACATCCACAAACAGGATTGTCTTGGCGTCGAGTTATATATTCTGGAATTGAAGGAAGGATCCAAATGTCGTTATTACTTGTTTATTTACTGATAATTACAACTCTATGTACAGAAGGTTATAACAACGCCGATCATGTAGACAAAGGTCAGAGCACTGAAGACGAACGTCCAAAACAAAGCACGTTGAGTCGAAAAGTGGTCAACCTCGACCTCTGACGTCACGCCAGTTGGGGACGGTGGTCAGGCGCAGGTTGCCGCCCGCCGCAAGTTCTTCAAGGAATGTGCACAAGTATTGATTTATTTTAATTCAATAATTTATGTATACATTTTCAAATTCAAGATATTGCATTTATACATGTTTTTATTTTTTTATAGATAAGATAAAACAAACA